GTCCCAATTGTAGACTTTTGGCTACTAAAATTTTTTTAGTCGGTAAAACCCATATAATTAGTGACCAAACTTATTTTTAGTCGCCAATTGTAGACTTTTGGCTACTAAATTTTTTTAGTCACCAAAAAGCTTTACTTTGGGCTACTAAAAATTTTTTAATCACTAAAACCAATATAATCAGTGACCAAACTTAGTTTTAGTCACCAATTGTAGACTTTTGGCTACTAAAATTGTTTAGTTGCCGAAAAGCTTTACTTTTGGCTACTAATGCTGTTTTGGTCAGGAAATTTAGTCGCCGAATATGCTTTTTTCTGTGGTGTATTTGGGAAACCATTTTCAGGTACCAGTGTCATACTTCCTCTAAGGATGTAGCTTGGGAGGACTTAGGAGCTAGAGACTCTATTATGTTATTTGTTATTTGGATGTTTAAATGTTAATTCAAGTCAAGTGCTTTACATGTATTGAGCTTATGACTCTCATTTGTTATAACCAAGTAATGTCTTGGAAAGATGTAAGTCCGAAGGGCATCCGCTTATGTTAAACTCTTTTGTATTATTATTTCATGAAATGAAAGGACTACTTACACTCTGATTTATGTAACTGTTATTTATGTTGTTGTGGATCATACCTATGGTAATATATTTTGGGGGCGTTACACGTGTCAATTTCGTGTTATACAGATTTGACACTAACCCGACCTGTTTAATATTCTTATTATCGGGTAGTCTCATATAAGTGTTCATGCCATGAAATAGTCAACCCTAACCCGCTAATTTTATGTACGGTTCGAGTCATGTTATTGTGTCGTGTTGCAAATTCCCACCCTCAATTTAGACCACATTTATTATATAAAAAAAACATCTTTCATCATTTGGAAAACTATATTGAGCAATGAAAATAAATAGGCAAAATTTATTTTATCCTCTTGTGGTTTGAAAAACTAAAGCACTGTACCCCCTTATGATTTGAATATAAGCAGAATGCTTCCAGGTGGTTTTGGACCAAAGTACAACCGTTAACATCATTAACTATATATGTGAAATGGCTATAATACTCTCAAATCATAATTGTTTTCTCTCTCCTATCTCATATACATAATTTTTAATTTTTAACATTAATTCAATTAAATCCCTATTGTTAAACCCTAAACCCTCTTACTTTTATCTCTAGATTTTTTTGCAAGGGGAGAGAAAGACGGCGATGGTTCCCCCACCTCTCTGATCTTCCTCTCCTCTGCCCCTCCTTCACTTCCTCTCCCTACGATCAGCATCTTAACCTAAATCTGATGTTTACTTCACAAGTCCGACCATCACAGCTTTATCTTTTCTACCTTTGAACCTAAAACTTTAAAATCAAACTTTAGATCTTCTCATAGTCTGAAGGCCGACGCATTTGTTTTACACTAAGCGACCACCTCAACCTCAATGTTTTATCTTAACCAGCAGATGTGGGATTTTCATATTCTAAGTTGAAGTTTTGTATGGGTTTGATGCCAACTTGGATATGATTTTTTTTGTTTGATTTTTAAA